CCCACCATCACGCCCGGCTAATTTTGTATTTTTAGTAGAGACGAGGTTTCTTCATGTTGGTCAGGCTGGTCTCGAACTACTGACCTCAGGTGATCTGCCCTCCTTGGCCTCCCAAACTGCTGGGATTACAGGTGTGAGCCACTGCGCCTGACCTCCATCCACTGTTTTCAAGAAACCTTAAAAGTCTGTGTATAGTTTTGTGGCTTAATCAAGGGAAATCGGGTAATTTAGTTAATAGTTGGTATTAACATCTGGCATTCCTAGTAGTTGGGCTGCCAGCAGCACTGGGCCTTTTGTACCCAGTTCGTAGAAACTGGAAATATGCTTTAGCTAGGCCAGAGGTTCAAACAGAAGTTCAGAAGGTCCAAAGTAGTGATTCAAAAAATTTGGCATCCTTGTAGCGTAGATATCTGGGCCCTAGCATTCAAATTCAGCTGGTCTGGAGTAAAGCCCAGAGATCTGTATTAAAAAAGCAAAAGCAACTAACAAATACCCGCCCTGCCTACACCACCCACACCCTAAAAAAAGAAAATAAACATTTTGAAAAATTTCAAAAGGTAGAGAAAATCTGGGAGAATGATGCTATAAATAACCAGAAGCAAACATCTAGATCTGTAACCGTCAAGATCATATTATGTTTGTTTTATTTATCTGTATTTTGTTAAACTGAAACACATGTGGTAGATTCCTTAAAAAACTGAATGCATTTATTTTCTTCCCTATACCTATGCCCTCTTGCAATGTGACTTCTCACTTTTCCCGTAAATAAGTGGAATCTATTTCCCTTCTTGAATTTGGAATGCTTTTGGCCAAGAGAAAGTGTTGGAAGTGATGATGTAACAGTTCCAAGCCTAGCCCTCAAGTTGCCTGTGTACTTCCACTCAGACTCTTGGAACCCTGCTGGAGGATGGAGAGACCACATGGAAGAGAAAAGGGTTATCCCTGCTGATGCCACCATAGACCCACCAGCTCTCAGCATATATGCCAGCTAATTACAGATGCAGGAGCAAACCCGTGGCCCATACATCATTAAGTAGATTAGCATATCTGCTCAGCAAACTCAGACTCATTAGGCAAAAAGAAATGTTTACCATCCATTACCACCAAGAGTTCTCCCATTGTTAAAGAGCATCATTGGTGTTAATAGACAACTGATAAAACATGTATACAGAAAAAAGAACAATTTTTGTCTTTTTGGTTAGACGGAGTTTCACTCTTTTGTCCAGGCTGGAGGGAAGTGGCACAACCTTGGCTCACTGAAACCTCTGTCCTCCAAGTTCAAGCAATTCTCCTGCCTCAGCCTCCCAAGTAGCTGGGATTACAGACATGCACCACCACACCTGGCTAATTTTTGTATTTTTAGTAGAGATGGGGTTTCACCATGTTAGCCAGGTTGTTCTCGAACTCCTGACTTTAGGTGATCCACCCGCCTCGGCCTCCCGAAGTGCTGGGATTACAGGCATGAACCACCAAGCCTGGCTGGAGAACAAATTTTAAGTGTATATATATATGAATCATCACAAAGATAACATATGTGTTAAACCAGCATCTGGATCAAGACACAGAATATTAATTGTATTCCAGAAACACTTGTTCTACCTTCCCACCAATGTAAACTACAATCTCAACCTCTTATACCATAGTCTTTTCTACCTCCACTAAATCATGTCATTACATGACTTAGCCCTCAGCCAATAATTAACATTTGACCCAAGTTATGAGAATTAGCCAGGGAAGCAAAGATAGCTAGGGCCCTCTCTGGTGTCTCTTGAATGTTTTCTGGACCACCACTGACATGTGGGATCTTATGAAGACCCACTGAGGCTGATTCATTTCTTGAAACTCCTGGTTTAATTTTTGACAAGTTCACTCGTCTCTTACTTGCCCCAACCAATATTTCAACCTCAAGTTATCTGAGAGTTGACCTTTGACAACTCTCCCAGGCATGGGGCTTTTCTATGCTCTGTTCCGAATCAAGTCAGTTTCCTCCAGTAGAGAAGTTGCTGGTTGGCCGGGCACAGTGGCTCACTCCTGTAATCCCAGCACTTTGGGAGGCTGAGGTGGACAGATCACGAGGTCAAGAGATCAAGACCATCCTGGCCAACATGGTGAAACCCCGTCTCCACTAAAAAATACAAAAATTAGCTGGGCATGGTGGTGCATGCCTATAGTCCCTCATGCCTATAGTCCCTATAAAACATGTATACAGAAAAAAGAACAATTTTTGTCTTTTTGGTTAGACGGAGTTTCACTCTTTTGTCCAGGCTGGAGGGAAGTGGCACAACCTTGGCTCACTGAAACCTCTGTCCTCCAAGTTCAAGCAATTCTCCTGCCTCAGCCTCCCAAGTAGCTGGGATTACAGAGAGAATTGCTTGAACCTGGGAGGCAGAGGTTGCAGTGAGCCAAGATTGCACCACTGCACTCCAGCCTGGCAACTGGCGACAGAGCAAGACTGTCTCAAAAAAAAAAGAAAAGTTGCTGGTTTTCACAGCTTGCCCTATTCTCTGTCAGAGCTATCAGGTATAGGAACCAGGGAACGAGAAGAGGAATGGGAGGAGCCCCAAGATAAAATGCCTCAGACAACCACAGTTCCTTCCCAGGGTTGAACAGTTTTGCTTTAAGAAATGCTTCTCCATTTGTTATATGCTCTTGTTGAGTTCCAGAGTCCTAATATTGTTGTTTTTGACATTCTGTCCAATTTTATTGTTTCTTAAGGAGTTGATTTGCCACATTCCTCACTCTACCATTCTGGAGGTATGCCATCCTAATAACAATTTATTTACTTTTATAAATCATAAGTAGAATGAATTACTTTCTGAGCTTCGTTAGGTAATTAATCGTATGTTGTTTCCAACCAATTTTTCTATTGGTTTATAATTTCCTGCGAGGTGTAAACATTTTTTCATTAAATGAATAGACAATTTAAAAATTTTCAAAGAATCTGGACATAAGTTTAACCTAATAATTTTTAAAAGATCGTAATTAATGATATGGGAAGTTGTTCTGAATTACTTGTAAGTTTCAATGATACTTCAATGATACCAAAATCTTTTACAAATACTCCACTAAATGTACACTGCTATTCTCATTATAATACAGTCATTTATTTCTTAGGCATGTCTTGGTGCCTAAAGGAATGATACAGTGATTAAGCTTATTAAAGCTCACCTCACACTGGTTATTCAGCTTGGTGGATGTAATATCCAATTGTTGGTATTGTTCCTTTAGCTTTGAAAATTCAGCTTCTAATCTTGTTTGTTCCAGTTTGGAATTATTCAGAAGACTTTTCAAATTTTTATGGTCGGTTTGTAAAACTTCAGTCTCTTTTAAAAGTTGACTATAAGTATGATTCAACCTATAATTAGAAATCATATAAATATAATTAGATTATCTTAATAGCTTTTAGTGTAATTTATACAATATGAAATGATATAAATAACATTAAGGCAGACTTAGAATAAAAGACTGTTTTGTAAGTCATTAAACTTAGCCAAAATCAGTTTCTATTCTGTAAAAACTAGATTTTTAAAAATTCTGAGTACCTTTTCCTTGAAAAGAATTTTTAATTTCTTCTTTTCATCCATCCATCTGTACACTGGGAAAAAATTTTTTTAGTCTTTAAACATGTTGAAGTATAGGTACTCAAAGTTTCAAGCATTAATAAGAAAGTATTGGCTGGGTGTGATGGTCCATGCCTGTAATCCCAGCATTTTGGGAGGTGGAAGCAGGACCATCACTTGAAGCCAGGAGTTTGAGAGCAGCCTTGGAGATCATAGTGAGACTGTATCTCTACAAAAACTAAAAGTTAAAATTTTAAAAACATTAAAAATTAGCTAGGCATAGTGGTGTGTGCCAGTAGTCCCAGCTACCTCGGAGGCTGAGGTGGGAGGATTAATTGAGCATAGGAGTTTGAAGTTGCAGTAAGCTATGATTGTGCTACTGAACTTCAGCTTGGGCAACAGAGCAAGATCCTGTCTTTTTCTTCTTCTGAGACGGAGTCTCGCTCTGTCACCCAGGCAGGAGTGCAGTGGCACAATCATGGCTCACTGCAACCTCTGCCTCCTGAGTGCAAGCATTTCTCTTATCTCAGCTACCTGAGTAGTTAGGACTACAGGTGCATGCCACCATGTCCAGCTAATTTTTGTATTTTTAGTACAGATGGGGTTTTACCATGTTGGTCAGGCTGGTCTCAAACTCCTGACCTCAAGTGCTCTACCTGCCTCGCCCTCCCAAAATGCTGGGATTACAGGTGTGAGCCACTGCACCCAGCCTATTCTATTTTTTAAAATTCTAAACTCAAACTATGGTTGGTACTACAAAGGGGCAGTATATATTTTGGATGTAAAGAATAATACAAAATTAAATATATATACACACACACAAATATATGTATATACTTTCTATATAAAATATATATGTTTATTATATATAACGTATATTTATTACCTATCATTTTCACCACAAAGTTTCTTGTATTCTGCAGCTACTGTTTCATGGTTTTTATTTTCAAGCAGCATTTTTTCCTGTTCTACTTTGAGCATCTTTTCCAAATCTTCCAAATGTCCTTTCTGTTTTAGTAACTGATTGTAACTGGGGGAAAAAAAAGACTTCGTTTATAATATTTCCTAAAAAGATATTTTAGAAATGAAGGAAGTAATTTATTAATATCATTTAAAACACACGTAAATTTATATAAATTTCCTATGTAAACTAACATTAGATGTGTTTAATATATAAAATTTATTACACTACTTGAAGAAAATTGGTTTTAAATTCTCAATACAACAAAATATAATAAATTACCGGTCTTCAAGGTCTCTATGTTCCACCTCAAGATTTTTGTGGGCAGACTTTAGACTTCCATGTTTAGAGATAAGAGATTCATACTCAGAAGCCTGACGTTCATGAAGAAGTTCCAGTTTTTCATGATCTTTTATCAGAGAATCATAGAGAGATTTTAGGTCTTCTCGATCTTTGATTACAGATTCATTTTCATTTTCTAAGGAAGACTGCTGGATTAGGAGTTGTGCATTCTGGTTCATAAGTGAGGTATTTTGGGAATTAAGGGTAGAATTTTCAACCTATAAGAATACATATTATTAGCAGACATAAGAAAAATAGTTCATGTTCCTTTGTAAAATAAAGATTACAATATTAACTAAAGAAAGGTCTAAATAAATCACAGCAGATATATTTACATTATACTGGGAATATTTGGATTTTAGCTTTCCAAGAATAAGGCTACCATTTAATTTTGATTTTGGAAGGTGTTATAATACACACACATACATACGTGTGTGTGTGTGTGTGTGTGTGTGTGTGTGTGTGTGTAGTCATAGACGTATATATGTATTTTACATTTTGGGTTGAATTTATTTTAAATGAAGGTGATCAGCAACCGTTTGTATTCCACTTACAGAAAAGTACAGAATTTGAAGTGCTAGTTTATCATTTCTAGAATTTAGTGATAGAAGTTGATAGAAGTGAAAAATTACTTTTGGAAATTTTCCAAGAGTCCAAATTAAATCAGTATTTTCTTTATCAAACAAAGTGTTGATGTTGATGAAAATCACTATCAAAGAGTTACAGAAAGAAGAATGCTTTGGAGAGGAAACTTGTTTCTGCTCTTTAAAAGGTTTCAGAGAGTTGAACTTTTCCCCACCTGATTGTTCTGTTTGAAAAGGCACTGGCGGTGTTAAGTGAAAGATGGATCCTTTGAACTTATGACAAGCCTAAAGACGATATTCCTATGCTGTCCTGCTTTCCACTAACTAAAATGACAAAAGCTACAAAAGTGAAATAAGGAATAGTATGCTGCAACCATATTCTAAAGCAAGGGTTTCTACATCTAAATTATTATAATCAACTTACTGAAATGGCAGAAAGACCATAAAGTAAATATAATTTATCTTTATTTAGATGTATTAACTGAATTTATTAATATTTAAAGGCTCTGATATTTTAAAAATTGATGGCACTAAATAAAAATATTTTCATTTATCTTTAATTAATTGTTAAGTTCATTCACTAAGAAACAATGTTTCCATGTTTAGCCTCCCTTATTTTAATAGCATAATTCAAGAGTTTGGTTAAATATTCCCAAAATATTATATTACAACCTGAAGCTTGGCATTCTGTGTTTGAAGAGTAGTATTCTGTTCCTGTAATGACACTGTCTGCCTCTGAAGTGCAAGAATCTGAGCCTGCAAATTATTGTTCTGTGTCTCAAGCTGCTTCAGTTGAGTTTTCAATGCTTGCTTCTCTGCTTGCAGTGTAGCATTCTTAAAAAACAAAACCAGAAACCAAACATATTAACAATAATGGCAATATAAAACCTATTTCTATAACATACTGAATTTCATATAACTATTTATTAGCATTTTAATCCATAAAAACCCCAACAATCTTGAGAAAAAAACCAAAACATTTCCCCATCCCAGATTGTAAACATTTAATTTATCAGAAAGAAGGCAATAATACTAAAGCTTTAATATTGTGCCTGTGTCTTGTCTGTATCACAATATCCTAAAAAATCGCATTCTAAATATATTGATTAATGTACAAACTAGAAAGGAATTGTCGGTTGTATGGTCTTAATACTGCTTGAACGTTCCCGGAATGCTCAGAATAAATGGGGCTGTGTCCAACCAAGGAGGTGTATCTTTTCTAATTTACCCAAAGGCAAATATATACATAAGTGGGTGGTGGTCCTAGAGAGAGTGGCAAAACCAAGTATATTCCAAACACGAATACTTCGAAGGGAAGCAGGTTTACAGGAACAATCTTAGTCCAAAACAGACCTAACACAGATGTTTTTTTAAATTTTTCTCATGATTTAAAATACCCATTAAAACTCTATTTCAGCTGTAAGAGTCCTGGAGCATTTCCAAACAAAACACACAATTTTCAGTTTTTCCAATACATAAGGCCAAATTTGAGTTTTATAAACACATGAATTACTATGCAAATCAACAATTACATATTAAAATACCTGTCATAAATATTTTTAGGATTATTTCTAAATTAAATTTCATAACAAAAAAAATCAGCAACAGCAACATATAAGCAAAGAACCCTCCAGAAAACAGAAATAAAACTTTAATGTACAAAAGGTCATAATTGGTCTACCCTGCAGTATGCATAAAAAGTTAACAACTGAATCACAATAGATCCTTTTATCATATGTATATGTAAATATAACATTCATTTTATTGGCTTTATATACACTACATGTCACTGTGTAAAAGGCAGGTCAGGATTTGATCCACATATTAATATAAAATTGAATCTGAGGAAACAAAATGATTTAAGATGAGTTATCATATTATACTTCTCTTTTGTTTATTCAAATAAAATGGATGAAAAAATGTGTACTAGAAAAAACAGAATACTGATACTGATGAATTTATATACCATCCCAGTACAGAGGTGAACCATTTTCCACATATATATGTGAAATACTATTGTAGTTAAGCACTTGAGAAACTAAATTGTACAAACACTACCGATTATTCCAGGTATGTTTGGAAATAAGAAAAAAATCCTATAGTCTATAGTGAATAGAAGAGATAGCTGAGAGGGTATTATCTTAGAGCAGGAAAAAAATTACAATGGAAAAGAAAGAAGTTAGCAAATATAGGCCTGGTGCGGTGGCTTATGCCTGTAATCCCAGCACTTTGGGAGGCTGAGGCGGGCGGATCACCTGAGGTTGGGAGTTCAAGACCAGCCTGACCAACATGGAGAAACCCTGTCTCTATTAAAAATACAAAATTAGCTGGTCATGGTCGCATATGCCTATAATCCCAGCTACTCAGGAGGCTGAGGTAGGAGAATTGCTTGAACCTGGGAGGCAGAGGTTGCAGTGAGCCAAGATCACACCATTGCACTCTAGCCTGGGCAACAAGAGTGAAAATCCATCACAAAAAAAAAGAAAAAAAAAAAAAATTAAAAAAAGATGTTAGCAAATATAATACTGGCAAACACACAAAAATTACCAGCCTATTATATGGCTAACCATCTTTACAACCCTGTTTTCTAAAATATATCAAGTAATTTTTTTCTAATGGAAATTTATAAAGGAAGTCAATAAGAAAAAAAAGTTCACCTTATAGAACTTCGTATGCCAGCTCAATTTTCTAAAATATAATTATGAATCCAAGCAACATAGGTATATATATCACTGATTAAAAATAGGCATTTATAAATGGCCAATAAATATATGAAAGATGTGTAATGCCTAACTCACAATTTTAAATGTACAAATTATTTTTTCCTATTGCTTTAACAAAAATTAAACACTAGGTAATATCCAGTGTTCATCTGGAAAGACAGGTATACTCTATTAGTGAGACTGAAAATTGACATGATTTTTAGGCTGGGTGTGGTGACTCACACCTGCAATCCCAGCACTTTGGGAGGCTGAGGAGAGCAGATCACTTGAGGCCAGGAGTTCGAGACCAGTCTGGGCAACATAGTGAGACTCCCATCTCTACAAAAAATTCAAAAGTCTCCTGGGTGTGGTGGCATGCACCTGTGCTCCCAGGTACTTGGGAGGCTGAGGTGAGAGGATCACTTGAGCCTAGAAGGATGAGGCTTCAGTGAGCTATGATCTCACCACTGCATTCCAGCCTGGGAGACAAGTAAGACCCTGTCTCAGAAAAGGGGGGGGGGGGGAAGAAAAGAAAATTGATGTGATTTTTAAATACTAATAGAAATTATCAATTAAAATTACACACACACACACACACACACACACACACACACACACACACATGTATATATATCCTTTGGCCTTGCAATTTCGCTGTCAGAAATTTAGCATTCTATGAACATGTTTAAAAATAACCTAAATGTCCAGAAATGTGGGATTTATTTAAGTAAATTATGGTAACATACTATGGAATAATAGGTAGTCATTATACAAAATGAAATATATATACATCTGCTAAAATAGAGAGATCTCCAAGATAACATTAACTGAAAATACAAACAGGAATTTCATATAGCATGATCCCACAGGTATAAATTTGTAAAAGAAATATACTTCTACATATAGATAAATGACAAAAACATTTTCTAGGAAGATAAACTGTTTATAGTGATTCTTTTTGAATAAGAAAGTAGTAATCAATGGTGTGGGGATTAATTTTTGGTTTTAGCTTAGTTTTTTTTAAAAGGTACTATTTTTGTGTTAAATTAAAAAACAATAACTACCACCACAACTATTTTACTTGTTATTGTGTAAATTCCTTAAGTTTATTCAACTTATGAAAGGTAAATACTTGTTGTTCACTTAGTTTGCTTGTTGCTTACTATCAAGCATATATTGAACAAACTTAGCAAATATTTGTTAAGTGTCTAATACCTACCAGGCACTAATCTAGATAGTAAAGGTGGTAAAAAAGAAAGACAAATTACCTGCTTTCATAAATGAATACAAAATATAATTTAACTGTGAAAAGTGCTATGAAAAAAACTAAGAAATGGAGAAATAGTGAACAGTTTAAGTTGAGTATAACAACTTTACTGGGGGAAGAAGTCAGGGAAGACCTTCTGCAGGACATATGATATGCCACCCAAATGCTAAGGGAAGCCAGTCATGTGTTTCAGGCAGAAGAAGCAAAAAGGCAGGCCCCTGAGGTAGGAACAAATAGAAAAATGCCTATGTGACTAGATTTTTCTTGTTAAGTGTGATGAATTGTTTAAATATTAGAAAATGTATCTAAGATAAATATATCCAGTTATCCTCTATTTCTAAAAAAAACTATTCCTACTAAAATTAAAAAATACTTACATTTCTTTCTACTTCAATTAATCTGTCTTTAACTTTCAGAAGTTCTCTAGTCGTTTCTTGACTTTCTCGTTCCCATTTGTTGTCTTCACCAGATGTTGGAGGAGAGCTCTGTGCCATCCTTTCCTCATCCTGTCTCTGTTTGAGAGCTTCATAATTTTTTTTCACCTAAAGTTTTATTTAAAATATTTTGATGAGGAGAAAAAAATCACCACTGTTATATTTCTCACAATTAATTTGACTCTGGGCTGGTCTGATGAATATGAGAGGCAATTTATTTTTAAATGTGATGAATAATATGTATGATTTGTGATTTTGAAAATGCAAATCCTTTTCTCCTAGAAATATATAACATACTCTGCTTATGTGGCATGCTCCTACAATGTATCCTGTAATGTCAAATCCTATTGTTTGTAGTGAAAATGCCCCCAGATAAGTGGATTTAGGTATGTTTCTAATTAATAACAATTCTTTTTACAGCTATCTATAACCAGTTTAGAAATTTCACAGATATGTCTATGTAAAGCACAATGATTTGACACATTATTAATTATTATGGATATATCTTATTCAGGATTTTTTAGTTCTCAGTTGGCTCTCTTAAAGTAGATTATCATCACACTAGAAAATCCTGGATAAGCTATATCCTTGGATTGCTATTAACAACTTACTCATCATACATGACCACATTTGCCAGATTTAACTTAGTAACTCTTTCTCTTCAGCTTAAATTTACTATTGTACTTGTATTGAATTATTAAACTATTTTGAATCACTAGTTTATCCTAGGAGATCCCTAAAATAAATTTCAAATTAACCCCAACATTTGTATTGAGGGAAGGGTAGAAATGTTTTATAATTCAACATCTAATGCACAACTTAAGAAAGCCTATGACTCAACAATTAATACTGCCACCACTGAGTTGGAAAACAACGAAGTGAGACTAAAAAGATGCCAAGGTAGAATGTGACGTCAAGTTTCACAAGCAATCTAATGGGTACCCTATGATCCTAGTTTTCTGGGTTTTGTTTTGTTTTTACTTTTAACACCCTATAACAATAGATGAGTGACACCATTTCTACTCTCTATTTTACATTAATTTCCCATAAGGTCTTTATTCTAGGTTTAGAAAGGCTATAAACATATGCAGTTATTAAGAAGGGGAGCTGAGAATAAAACTCAAGTCCCTTTCATTTTATTTTTATTTTTTTGAGATGTAGTCTCACTCTGTCACCCAGGCTGGAGTACAGTAGCACAATCATGGCACTATGCAACCTCCGCCACCCAGGTTCAAACCTTTCTCCTGCCTCAGTCTTCTGAATAGCTGGGATTACAAGCACCTGCCACCACACCTGGCTAATTTTTGTACTTTTAGTAGAGATGTGGTTTCACCCTGTTGGCCATGTGGTCTCGAACTCCTGACCTCAAGTGATCCATCCACCTTGGCCTACCAAAGTGCTAGGATTACAGGCATGAGCCACTGTGCCCAGCCAAAGGCCTCTCATTTAAAACCCATTGTTCTTTCAACTTTATGTATCATTAATCAAAATCTTTACATTCAGAGAGGAAATGAATATAGAGACTAGATAAAAAATAAGTAGTTGTAACAAAGTATTTTAGAGTTAATTTAAAAACTGTCCATTAAAATGTAATTAAAATTTTAAATGTTGTGAATTAGGTTATGAATTCAAATTTTCAACAGTTCCCAAAGATAATATAATGTTTAAAAATAGAGGTATAATTTTCATCAAGTTGCTAATGTACGGATTTTAAGTGAAATTCAGTAATTTTGAGAATGGCACACACCTATGTAACCCATATATCAATATGACAGAACACTTCCATCATTCTAGAAAGATCACTGTACCAGGCAACCACTGTTTTTCTTTCACAAAAATTCTTATAATTTCACACAAATAAAATAACAGTGTATATAATCTTTGTGTGTGTGTGTATATGTTTCTGAGTATATTTCTAAGCTTTATTCATGTGTTGATTGCATCACTAATTTTTTTCTTTTAGTCATTATTTCCAATTTTTTGATGATGATGAATGAAGCTGTTATAAAAATTTATTTATCTATGCTTTCATTTTCCTTGAGAGAAGAGAAGTAGCATTTTCATCTTTTTCTTTTTTTTTTTTAAGATAGAGTCTCACTCACTCACCCAGGCTGGAGTGCAGTGGTGCAATCTCAGTTTACTGCAACCTCCACCTCCTGGGTTCAAGCGATTCTCGTGGCTCAACTTCCTGAGTAGCTAGAACTACAGGTGTGCGCCACCATACCCAGCTAATTTTTTCATTTTTTAGTAGAAACAGCAGTTCACCATGTTAGCCAGGCTCGTCTTGAATTCCTGACCTCAAATGATCCGCCTGTCATAGCCTCCTGAAGTGCTGGGATTACAGGTACGAGCTACATGCCAGGCCACAGGCCAGGATTTTTTGAGATACTGCCATACTGCTTGCTAAATTAATCATAACACCTTATATTTGCATCAGTATGCATGACAGTTCCAGTTGCTCCCAATTTTAACCAATATTTGATTAATATTTCCACATAAATTTTAGAATCAGCTCATTAATTGGCCTGTTGGGATTTTAATTGGGATTATGTTGAATCAAGAGATCAGTCTGGGGAAATCTGCCATTTTAACAATATTGAGTCTTCTAATTCATGAACATGGTTCTTATCTCCATTTACTGAGTTATTCCTTAGGTGGTTTTAGTACAGAGTTTTTGCACACATTTTCTTAAATTTATCCATAAGTATTTCATAGTCTTATAAATGGTGTTTTTCTTCTACATTTAATTTTCCAATCTTTCATTGCTTATATGGAGAAATAAAATATATTTTTATATATTGACTTTTACCCTGTGACATTGATAAGTTCACCTTAGTTGTAAAGTTCTTCTGTGAATTCCTCATGGTTTTCTGTAAATATAGTCATGTCACAGGTAAAGAAGGACATTTTTATTTCTTCCTTTCAAATCTGTATGCCTTTCATTTCTTCTTAGTACACTGGTTAGGATCAGTAGTACAGCATTTAATAGAAACAGTGAGAGCAAAATCTTTGTATTCTTCCTGATCAAAGGGGGAAGGTGATTAGTCTATAGGCTATTAATAGAAGCCCTTTATCTGGTAGATTAAGTTCTTTCTACTTATTCTCCAATTATTGAGAGATGAGTATTAAACACTCTAATTGTAATTGTGGATTTGTCTTTCTCCATGCAGTTCTACAGATATTTGACTCATGTATTTTGCAACTGTGTTACCAGGTATACCTCTGTTATTAGGTGCACAGACATTTAACCTTGTTATCTTCGTGCTGGAATGACCCCTTTATAATTGCACAATGAATTACCTTAGCTCTAGTGCTATTCATTGCACTAAAGTTTACTTTGTCTAACATTAATACAGCCAATCAAGCAAGTTCTAGAATTATATATCATTTTCCATCCAGATTTCTTATAGGTAGCATATAGACGAGTCTTACCTTTTTGTCTAATTTATTAATCTCTGCCTTTTAACTTGGGCGTTTGGACCTTTTATATCTAACATAATTATTGACATACCTCAGTTTAAAACTGCCATCTTACTGCTTGTTTTCTATTTGTCCAATCTGTACTTTGTTCCCTGTTTCTTCTTTTTTTGTCTTTTGGATTTTTTTTTTTTTTTGAGTCGGAGTTTCGCTCTTGTTACCCAGGCTGGAGTGCAATGGCACGATCTTGGCTCACCGCAACCTCTGCCTCCTGGGTTCAGGCAATTCTCCTGCCTCAGCCTCCTGAGTAGCTGGGATTACAGGCACGCGCCACCATGCCCAGCTAATTTTTTGTATTTTTAGTAGAGACGGGGTTTCACCATTTTGACCAGGATGGTCTCGATCTCTTGACCTCGTGATCCACCCGCCTCGGCCTCCCAAAGTGCTGGGATTACAGGCGTGAGCCACCGCACCCGGCTGGATTTTTTAAGATATAGGCTCTCCCTATATGGCCCAGGCTAGTCTCAAACCCCTGAGCTCAAGTGATCTGCTCACCTCAGCCTTCCAAAGTGCTGGGATTACAGGGATGAGCTACTGTGCCTGGCCTGGATTTATTTTTTATGATTCCATTTTATCTCCCTTTTTTGGTCATATTACCTGTACCTCTTTGTCATACTAATTTAGTTGTTACTTTAACCCTTATACTACTCATATTTAACTTTCACAGTCTATCTTAAAGTAAATGCCTCTTCACATATAGTATTAAAAGTTTATAACAATAGCAATTCAGTTGACTACATAGCAGGAGCTAGTCCATAACAGTTATGGCCAAAGAGCTGAAAGTGGAAGTCAATGATACTTTTTTTTTTGAGACGGGGTCTCACTCTGTCATTCAGGCTAGAGTACAGTCGCATGATCTTGGCTCACTGCAACCTCTGCCTCCTGGGTTCCAGCGATTCTACTGCTTCCGCCTCCTAAGCAGCTGGGATTACAGATGCCTGCCACCACACCTGGCTGATTTTTGTATTTTTAGTAGAAACAGGATTTCACCATGTTGGCAAGGCTAGTCTTGAACTCCCGACCTAAAATGATCTGCCTGCCTCGGCCTCCCAAAGTACTGGAATTACAGGCGTGACCCGCGGCATTTTAAATATCTACTTCAAACACACGTACGAAACCCATACCCAAACACACCAATTCTCTGGTTGACTAGCTTCATGATGTTCATTTTATTTGTAACTCAATGATACTGCTAATGGGGTAAAAAAATTCAGGACAAAAGGCAGGTTAAAGTACGGTTTTTTTAAATTTGTTTTTTGGATAATCCAGTTAGTTAACCAGACACAGTTCTAAAATTTATTCTCTGGCTCTGAGAATGTCTGGATGAAAAATAATTAAGTAAAATTTATTCTGTAACAAGGTATGTTCCATGGCAATGTCTGTGACAAATAGCAATAATGTTGTTGGCAAATAGTGATTAAAAAAAGCCTTTCCCTTTCTACATAAGAAATTCAACTTTGGTTAACTGTTCCTCTGAAATCTTGATGTAAATGGAACATTCTATGTTACCAGACAACATTGATTATTGAAAAAAATGGCTATTTAGGAGAACTTTAAATACCAATAGGCAGCCCTATCTCTGAACTTCTCTGAGAGCAGCAACTCTTATAATTGGTACGTGCACTGTGGAGATCTTAAATCTATGCCTTTGGAATTGCTGCAAGTGGTAATGGCTGCTATGAGCATGAGCATTCAAAGCCAGGGAGGGTCCTGCACACATCCAGTGTCTCTTCTTATACCTGAACCATCTGGTGGGAAGATGATTCTCAGAAGACTACGTGAAGATGACGGCCTGCCACTGCCCTGCTATCTATTTGTATTTCCTACAGTGTTCTGAATAGAATGATTCTAAATGCAGCCTATAGTAATCTTGTCAGTCTAAGTGTTTAGTTAACCTTAAGACCACTCCTCGTGGCACTGCAGAGATGATAAAAGGGTGAATAAATCAGAATATGACTCTACCAATCTACTATCTACTAGCCTTGTGGGATGGGCAAGTCCCTTATATTTTTATTTACTTCCTTAAGGAAAATAAACAGTTGCCTCTGCCGTGCTTACTTACTTCACTGAATACCTCCAAATATCACAAGAAAACAGATCTAGAAAAGACCTCAAATTTATGAGGAGATCTGGTGCTATCTTATATAACACACATATGATTTTCCTCTAACTTGGTATCCTCAAACTCATATTTTGCCTAGCAGAATTTTCCCTGGATCCTCAAAAGGAAAAGAGTGCCAGAGTGAAATGTCAGTATCACACTGAGCGCTTTCCCCAATAAAATAAGTCTGCCTCTTTCTCATTCCACCCACACACTTCTGATATATCCCTAACAGCATGCAGGACATTATACACATGAAATAGTACTGAATAAACTACACCATATCCATTTGACAGACATCTGTTTATGAATACTAAGAAATAGACTAAATATCAATGTTTATATTTTTATTTTCTATTTTATATTTTTCTGTCCAAATATTTATAAAATAAATGAACATTAAAATTCTTTCCAAGAAAATTACTTACTGTTTTAAGTTCTTGGCGCAACTGCTGGTTATAATTCGTGGATTCTTCTAATCGAGCTTCTAAAGCAGCAATTTTTTCTTCTTTTATTTCAAGAGACTTCTTAAGAGTGGATTCTAATTTTGATTCCAAAAGTTTATACCTACTATCCAAGTGCAAAGTAATATAGTTCATCATTGGAGGTCAGAAAATTATTTTTAAAGATAATTTATGACCACAAATATTCATGCTATAAATGGGTCTTATAAAAGCCTTTTTGTTCAAGAGGCAAATGAAATTATCCTCTTCTTACTGCCCCATTCTCCTTTTAAAACTAATCCTGATAATGAAGCAACAAAACCACTGAGTGAACAGAGAGCTCCAGATTATGGCCTAGATTATCAAAAGCAATAATTAATGTTCAAGGAATCTGGAAGATCAAAGTCCCAAAATATCCCTTTTAGTATTGTAAGAATACAATCTATAGAAAGAGGAAGTAGATGGATTCATTATATCATCAAGCATTTGCCTATGATATTAATGAATAAAGTATTTATGCAAGGATGTGTGAACACTTAAGACTTATAACTCAATGAAGACTCTTTATCTCAGGATACAGAGTAGTTACAGTAAAAAATGACATACTTATGGCATAGGATACTGGTGACAGAGTGGCAAGAGGGAGATGGATGTGACTGTTGGTATAGTAATTAACTTTCTGAATGGTAGATACATGAATAATTATTAACAAACACTTTTTTCACAAAAAGGATGGTGTATGAACACAATTCAGAGTATATCACAAAGTAGTATTTATGATCCATTGCTTAAACGGAAGGACCCCTGAGACAAAACCAAATAAAAACCTAAAATATGTATATGAGAGTTTTGCCACGTTCTTTTATTGGAATTAATTTTTATGTAAATTTTTCTGTTCAATTAGATTTTAATTTCATTGAATACAGTGAACAAATCTGCTCATTTTGTACTGGCTCAAGCCAACATTTAAAAATCATTTATTGAATCTGATTTGCGATATGTTGAATTTGTGACACTTGAGTTGCTTCTGGTCTATCCTGATAGAGATACACAGTAAGAAAAAAAATGAGGATCTCAGGTGAGATGATGTATGAGAATGCTTAGCATACAGAATGAATGGATAAAAGACCTGAAAACATAATCCTGTAAACTATATTGAAAGAGAAGACGGAAGATAAGAGTGATCACCTCTGTTTACAACTCTACTACTAAATTAATTAATTAATTAATCAATCTATTTATTTATTTTGAGACAGAGTCTCAAAGCTCTGTCACTCAAGCTAGAGTGCAGTGGCACAATCTGAGCTTACTGCAGACTCTACCTCTCAGGCTTAAGGGATTCTTGTGCCTCGACCTCCCAAGTAGCTGGGATTACTGGCATGCACCACCACACCTGACTAATTTTTTGTATTTTTAGTAGAGACAGGGTTTCACCATGTTGGCCAGGCTGGTCTCTAACTCCTGACCTCAAGTGATCTGCCTGGCTCAGCCTCCCAAAGTGCTGGGATTACAGGTGTGAGCCACTGTGCCTGGCTTACTAAATTTATTTCGTTGCATTTAAATGTATCTACTTATACATTCAATTCCAAAATTAGACAATATATTCCTTGATGGCAAGAATAAGTATCTTAATAAAAGTTGTACCTTCAAAAAAATTCAGAGAGAATATCATGAGTTAGAAAGATGGGAAAGTTAGGTCAAGTGCAGTGGCTCATGCCTATAATCCCAGCATTTTGGGAGGATGAGGCAGGTAGATCCTGGGGTCCAGAGTTTGAGACCAGCCTGGCCAGTGAAAATACAAAATTATCCAGGCATGGTGGTGCATGCCTGTAATCCCAGCTACTTGGTAGGTGGAGGCAGGAGAATCACTTGAACCCAGGAGGCTGAAGTTGTGCCACTGCATTTCAACCTGTGTGACAAGAGCCAAACTCTGGCTCAAAAAAGAAAGAAAGAAAGAAAGAAAGAGATGGGAAAGTTGGACTAATAAAGGAATTAGGGACATCATTTGAAATTGATATACATAAATCCCAAGGTGGAAGGCATGGCACATTAAAGGAATTTATGTCTGTGAGCTTCTGGTTGTTATTTTTTTTGTTTTAATGATATAAAGACTAACTTCCTGGCTGAGAAAGAAGCTGGTTTAGTAGTTCAAGCCACTTTCTATTTCCAAAAAGCTCCATGCCTATGCCTAATTCTTTCATTATGTAAATAAATATATGGAAATAATGACTGCCATCACATGTTGTCTAGACCATTATAATCACTTCCTCTCTGGTCTCTGCGCCTCCAAATTAATCCTTTTTGTAATCCATCTTTTATATTACTCTAAAAATTGCATAGCACATTTTTGTGCTTTTATACAAATGCTTTTGTCTACATGGAATGGGAATGCCCTTCCACACTGTTCCCACCTTGTAAACCTCTGTCACTTTTTAAGGTTCAGTTGAAACATTATCACTACTTAGATGCTACGTGATCTGCAGAAAAGAAAAGCTCAATTAACACTGGCTAACTGTATGAATTAAGGTTTGGGAAGAGGAATCAAACTGTATGAAGGGTCCACCCAGAGCTGGGTTCATAAATTTATAATACAGTCAATTAGCACTATAGGGTGTACTATACTTTTTGTTTTGCAAAGAACATGCAGCACAGTATCTTACATATATTAGGTAATAAATCTGTTTGAATAAAGAGGGGATGCATATTCAGTATCTATATTTTAAAAAGTCTCCAGGAACAGTTTGAATCAAAAAAAAAAAAGTCAATGAAATCTCCGCTTATCTGATTAATTCAAATAAAAATATTTCTGCATGAAATATTTGTATAATTAATTCAATAATCACTGCTTGACTTGAACTGATTGCTAGAATAAATGACTCAAATTGTTTCTCTCTGTTATTACACAACTAACTTTTTAAGTATCACTCTATCCTATTCACTTTGAATATTCTCAAAATTACATGAACAAATCCTATGTAATCACCATTAATTTTTTCAATATACATTGAATACAGATTATAAATACTGGAACAGTAATAAGTAAATAAAATATAAATTATATAATTACGAAAATTGAATGAAACTCTAGTCTACATAAAATAATATTCTTAACAGTACACAACTTCTATTCCAGCTGGATCCATGGAGCTGACTGGATGTTAAATAATAGACTACTTGAAAATCATATTAACTCTGTTTAATAGATTGTAATTACCATGCGAGAATACATATTTTCTTTAAACCTATATTGATCATTTTTAAAATTAAAGGGCATGAGTTAATTTTTTATCCTGCTTTTCAGGCTTTAGTTTTCCACATTATTTTTTACCTCAGTTGCTTTTCTTTTTCTTTGTTTCATACATGTTCTCCATTTATCTTTAAGCCAACATTTTGGCAAATAAACCAAAGAAAAGAGACAATTAAGCACATGATTCAAAGAAAAAATAACTTGCTTAATTGACTGTGTTTGATGAGCCAGAGGTTTGTTTGTTGTTAATGTCTTATTCTGTTTTCACAGGCATTTACAGCCTCTGCTTCTGCTTCCTGGGTGGCATCCTGTTTTCCTATTTTGTAACTGTATTTATATAGTAACGTTTTAGTTTTTTGTTTTCTTTTATCTATATTATATTGTCTATGATTCCTCTTTTTTCCTTACAGAACTTTAAGGGAAGAAAGAAACCAAAAGTAGAAATATATAAATGTTTTCTATAACTAGTACAGAAGAGAATTAATGTATGAGCAAAAAAAAAATTTTTCAACTGTTTGCCAAATAGATTTAGTACTCACCTGTCATCAGTACTTTGCTCATCATGTAAGAGTCGCTCCTTATTTAACCCTATCTTCTCAAGCTCATGAGTTAATTTTTCAAGATCATTGTTCATCTGTTGGGTCTTCAATTTTTCACTCACCAAATCCTTATTTTAAAAGAAATACAAAACTCACGTAAGTGTCAAGGGCATAAACATCTAAGAAAGTCAACTAAGATTCTAATTGCCACCATCTAGGAATACATATAATTTGAACCAGGAAATGTCGTTAAACCTTTCCTTCATTATTATAACCTTGTTGAAATAACTTTTTCCTTTATTATTTTTTTATTTTTTGGCTAATAATTTAAACAAAGCCTTAAAAGAGAGTTTAACTCTTTACTTGTGAATACACATTTAGGTTTAAAAATTTGGGGGAAAAACATATCTATTTACTTTTTAATAATGAGCCTGAATGTTAGTGCACATTTCTTCTTATAAATATATGTTGACTATAACACTTCTCTCCCACCAGATCCCTTCTTCCAGCGAAAGAGGCCCTATGATACTGATATGAAGAACTAGAGGATGTTCTTAGAAGTTCAGGCAGGAGGAACCTGTTGTTCATGTCTATAAGTCCACAGAAGAAAAAAATAAAAGGTCCCTCTCAATGCCTCTTTAGCAGAATGCAGACAGCCCAATGTGACCTTCTGCCAGAATGCTAACATACTTTGAAATTGAATTTAAAGAGTTATCACATACTATAATGCTTAGAGATGGCAAAAAAGAGCCAAAAACATAGATCTTCTGACTTGCACCAACAATGTTTCACAGGACATACTGCCAATCTACTACTCTAAGTTTCACAATTCTTCTTGATACACAGATTTAAGCAACTACTAGTTGCTCAGTGTTGAACAGTTGAACCTGATTTGCATTCTCTGGCTTCAAGGTCAAAATTCATGGGGCTTTGGAGTCTGGAAAATCTGGATTTGAATCCAATAATCCAACTCTGCTATTTATTAGCTGTGTGATCCTGAGTAAATTATTTCATGTCTCTGAACCTCAGTTTTCTATCTAAACAAATAGATATAATACTTATAAAGGATTTATTGTAAAAATTATGTACATGTATTAACAACTTATATGAAGTTTTCAGCCCGGACTTGGCACATAGCACTCAATAAATAATTGCTATCATGCTGCTTTATTATACTTAGAATTCAGTAAGAGTCTTGATCAAACATTATATTGAAATAACATTTCATTTTATAAGAATAACAAGCATTGGCCGGGCACGGTGGCTCAAGCCTGTAATCCCAGCACTGTGGCTGTGGGAGGCCGAGGCGGGTGGATCACTAGGTCAAGAGATCGAGACCATCCTGGTCAACATGGTGAAACCCCATCTCTACTAAAAATACAAAAAATTAGCTGGGCATGGTGGCGCGTGCCTGTAATCCCAGCGACTCAGGAGGCTGGGG